TATACAACATATATATACATACACACACGACACATATATATATATATATATATATATATATATAACTAACTTAATCCCTTATCATATGTTCACTCCAAGGCTGAACCTAACACATATGGACATATGCGCACATCCTCCATTGCCATATGCTCACGTCAAGGCTAACCCCAACGCATATGAACACATTCATACCTACCTATGAAGAGTGTCACATCCATACCAACCTATGAAGAGTGACCCATTTAATACATGTCTTGTCAACTCTTGACCGCTTTGACACTTTGACATAGGCATTCGCACACACATACGAAATAAACACAACATATGCTGCATATATACCTATTCAGTCTTGCACGTTAACATGTTCGCACAAACATATGAAGATTTGCGACGTCTACATATATGCATGATACATTGTTGCATGCATACCTTTTCAGTTCTTCTGCTTCCATGCGACGGCCCGTGGCCATATCGGAACACTTTGTTTGAAACTTGAGCAGCCTGTTCAGCATGTCGCTGTAGAAGTTGTAACCTTCGCCGAGATTGTTGTAGAGCTCATCCAGAGTGTCTCCGGCGATGCTGAGGTTGTCCAATACATTCTGGCGCTTGCGGGAGAGGTCTGTGCCGATGTTATAGGAATTGAATTCTTTCGCCAGGGTTCTACAGAGACAGACAGAATTCGAGATATCAGTTAGATAGGGTAGGGTTTGTTTAGAATCGGCACGTGGTAGAATTTCTTGAAATATAGGTCCAAATAATTACACCTCCGGGTCGAATAAATAAATAAATTTGACTCAAGTACTATGGGTCTGGGTGCAGATTGCTTAATATTTAGGGCAAGAAACTATGGCGTTCTATTGTACAGGCATAAGGAAAGTGTGAATTCGGTCAACTGGCTGGAACCAGATGGGTCCGACGTATTCAGAAAAAATCCGTAATATATGCACGTATATATGCTATGCATGTATATATGCATGTATATATGTATGTATATATGCATGTATATATACATGTATATATGTATGTATATATGATATGCATGTATATATGCATGTATATATGTATATATATATATATGCATGTATATATGCAAGTATATATGCATGTATATATGCAAGTATATATGTATACATATATGCATGTATATATGTATGTATATACGAGGCGCATACCCCCACATACTTAATTTTATCCAGCAACTCATCTTGCGACTGCAGATACTTGGCTATATCGTTCTGTATCGGCTTGAATACGGCCATTTCATTGGCCATGACCGTCTTCTCGTCTGCGGCGGTGCGAGAGGCCTCCACCAATTTGGACACAATAGAGTCTGACGCCTTCATCTGGGTCAGTCGGTGTTTGAGTTCGGTACTTTGTTCTTTCTGCGTGTCGTATTTGGCGAGTAGGTCGCGGATCTCTGCGGAGAGCGTCTGGGAGATGATTTGCGACATGGTTGCAACGAAGAATGTGTAAATTACATATATTTTGAAATGGGGTTAAGAGTTTAAGAGAGGGAATCCGATAGTGCAACGGCCTGCACCAAAAACGTAAATGAAAGCAACGAGGGGAGGTACATGATTGATGAGGATAAATTGAAAGCAACCGAGAAAAGTACATGATTTGTTATGTGGATAAGAGGATAAGAAAGGGACTATGCATGAACTAGCAATGCAAGTGCCTAATCACTGAAACCCAAAAACTCGATATATACATACATATATATATACATATATACATACATATATATATATATATATATATATATATATACTACTATATATACTACTACTATATATA